CATCCCCACTGTTGCTGTTACGGTCTCAGTCTCAACCATCCGCTATCAACTCCATTGGGACTTTGTGATGAATGTTTCTTCCGAAGAGTCTTCTCGCTTGAAGCGGATTCAATCTTAGCAGTTTCGTATCATTGTATTGCGTCATAGTGAGTCACATGAAGACGGCTCCGATCCCAGTAGAGTCTAGCTGCAGATCATGAATCTTGATCATGATCACACTTCTTAAGTTCGACAGAATGAGCTAGCGATGATCCTACTTAGTCTCGATCGCCGAGGTTTTGTCTCGGCTTTCGAGTAACCTCTATGCCCTACCTAGTTCCCCCTTGAAGATGCGGTGTTCGTGCGCTACAGAGTATGTCTATTCTGCTTCTGCAGGTCTCAATCGGAATGGGATCGAAAATGGTCAGGTTCAATGTCGAAGCTGCGTGCGATGCGGTGGACGTTAAGGTAACCAACACGGAGGAGAGGTAATCCAGACCATCGTTTATCATAGTTGGATGAGTCGCTCCGATAGCATAACATGAGACGATTGATGCGACCCTTTGGAAAGAATATTTGGGCAGAGTATCTCGTGGAGGCACAGCAGCTCCATTTCAGCGTAGCACCTGCAGAGGCTCCATTGGCAATCGACCAGAGTCTGTCTTCCGAACGAGTTGAGGCTATGTCGGCAGCAGAAAGGCACGCCATGTGTGAGGCTGAGAAAATAAAAGGCAATGAGAGCTTCGCCTCGGGAGACTTGGATGAAGCAGAGGTGAGTTATGTGGACTGGCTGGACGGCATTCGATCCCGTTGTCATCCAGTTGCATTATACGAGGGCCCTCCGTCTCCGCTCGGATGTATCAGTACTATGGTCCAATAGAGCCTTCAAGGCTCAGCCTTGGTGCGGCTAAAGCTTCGCCGCCCTCGAGAAGGGCTAGAGGATGCTCAGAGACCCATCGCGTTGGATCCTAAGGATGTGAAGGTGTGGCTAGGACACGGTTCGCGTCGCGTGTGATACGGTGCCTGAGTTCCCTCGGACTTAGGCCTTTCATCGACGTGGTAAAGCTCGCGCGGAGTTGGCTTACCTCGAGGAAGCAGTGAAAGACTTTCAGACAGCTCTCAAGTGAGCCAATGATGAAACGCTTGCTGTCCTCGGTAGACGGGAACGAGCTTGGGGTCATTGTGGGCTCAGGATACTCAACGATAGTGGCGCAGAGCAGGGAATGATTGGCAGAATCAATGCTGACCTTGCTACTGCCAGACGAAAGCTAATTTACAAGCAACGCGCGCAAGTCAAAGAAGAGATCGAGGAGCCAAAAATACAGGAGATTTTCGACGAATCACCAGTTGTGTAAGGAACGGGTTTCTCCGGCCGACATTGTATTGTTCTGATGGTGATACTCCGAATCGGAATTTCCAATGCACAGTCAATGTTAGGTCTCTGCGAAAATTGATGATTTGGCGGCCAAATCATTTGGATCTCAGACGACTAGTGTTGTTCCTCCTCAGGCCACATAATCACCAGGTCGAGAAAAAGTCTAGCGAATTCAGGCATATTTCTATAATCGACGAGGATTCGGATACTGAAGACGAGAAGGAAGGAAAGGTGCCGTTTCTTGCGTTGCGGACTACATACCGTTTCGCGTGGATCAAATGAGTCTGACCCATTACCGGATGGCCGCCCGGACAACCAATTTGGGGTTATCCAGCGGAGAAAGGCTTGAATCGAGCCGCTCAACGCTCTATCGAGGAACGTGCGCAATTGTTAGGCAATCAAGAACAGTGCCACTCCAGCTGGACGATGGAGAAAGATCGAAGTTTTTGAAAACTCTTCGGATGAGGACTAGCTATGATGAGGGCTCCTGCCGCCATGCTGGGCTCTCATCCCTCGAAGTTACATGGGATCATGTCGGTCTCAATCCGCTTTCGAGTTGTCATGCAAATCTTCAGACTATCATGTGCTGCGGGTTGCGTTTGGTCCTCAATTGACATGTGGTCTTACAAAGTATTTTGTTCATGTTCGTCAAGACCCTCTGGGGCTGGGCTTCCTGTGGAGTACAGAGGGACGAGCCGCGGCTCGATGTTGCCAGTATATCCAGCCAAAATTTCACAACAGAACATACTATGTTTAACGTACTCGCAACGCAACAGGAATCGTTTTTCCGATAGTATCACTCAATACATCGTTCTATAATACTACAGGCGCCATTAAGCGAATTACTAGCAATAGCCACAAGTTGTGGCTATTGCTAGTAATTCGCAGTTGTGGCCCACAACTGCATAGCTAATCCCACGGTATGTACAGTATCACCGTATCTTCGTCCTGCACCGATTCTTCAGGTTCTTCACGACTTGGAGCGTTGAGAGCCGACCATGTAGCTTCTGCCCATCTTTCATCGACGAGACCAGGCTCGCAACTCCCGTGCGAATCGGCAGACCGTAGAGCTCCCGATGCTGCTTACAGTGGTCACTTCGCGCAGCCACCACCCTCTCACATCCCATCTCCTTGCATCTCTTCCCACCTCCGTGCCTCTGACACATTTGTACCTCTCCTCCGGATCTAGCTGGAGCCGCACAATCGGGGTGTAAACAGCGACGGTCGGCTCCGTGGCTCTCGCAGAAATCTGTCTTACCAACTGCACTCTTGCTACAGTTGGCAGCGACACAACGACGACCACCTCCATGCTCGATGCAATTAATGAAGCCGTCGCGAGCGGAGCTCGTGCACCCGGGAAGCATACATCTCAGACACCAGGTTCTGGTTACCAGGATATTGAGCGAATTGAATCAGCCTATCTCGATAGGTTGGTTGAATCACGATACAGTCTTGCTAGCCTTTGGAAGCGCACAATACCTTGCCCGAAAAACTTCGAAGTCATGCTTGGTAAAATCCGCATCTCGTAGTGTGCTTCTCCCTTTCCAGCTAACTGGAAAACTCAGACGCCATGCAGATGAGAATCTCATAACGAAACGCAGCATCATCGGATCGGGCTGTGAGAAATGCCCGATACGCGCTGCGTACTCTCTCTCAGATTGAGGGAGAGCTTTATTCAATTGCTCCGAAAGGTTCCGAAGTCGAGTTTAACTGATCATTCACCACTAGATCGACCACCCAATGCCCTGGTCAGTTGTTCCAGTCTGGAAGCTCCAGTCTGGAGCAATGCCAGGTGTCTCATGTAACTCATGTATGCTACCTCTGTGTGACAGGCTCATGTTATTGGGCTGCCTAAGTTAATCGACAGTTCATAACAAGTATTCACCGCGTGAGGCACTAGATATTAGTCGCATGCTACTCATATGCTATGATAGCATTGCTATCTGTCTTCAAGGATCCCCAAGTCTATTTTCTCATTTTTTTCATATTTTACCTATTTTGCCTATTTTGCCTATTTTTAGGAATGAGAAATAGGCCGAAAGAAAGAACGGTTATTTTCCCTTCCCTCGGCCACCCTATTTGAGGGTACTATTGAGTCAGGCGTTCGAGGAAACTTTGTCGGGAGTGTTGTTGGACATTCCGACATTTGTCAAGTCGTTAAAGTCGCCCAACGATCTCGTATTCACTAAGACGGCGGACTTTAGCCAAATGCTCGTGGCCTTCCGTGGGACGTGGTCCGAGTATAAACAGCGGTTACGGGAGCAGGAAATTGAGGTGAGCGTTCACAGTGTCTAGAGTACTTACCCATCGCTATAGTTGGACCCGGAGTTCACACTGGCCTTGCGTGATGGTCTGACGCTTCCAACGGTTCGGATACGGCAACGAAAATGGAGACAGCCTCCTAACCCTGACCAAGCAGTGAGGTAGTGGGAGCATGCTATAGCTTGATAGCTGTGTAAGGCGAACGTATAGGAACGCGAGAGCTGAGGAGAAAATCATGAACGTCAATAAAGGAGGGCATTTGGAATGGACAGAGGATGCCGACGTTGCAGCCTCGGAAATGCGGGAAAGGAAGGAGAATGAGCCTAGCAGCATCTGGCGGCCCACAGATGAAATCATCATACGTTGATACGTATATCGTAATATGTATTTCTCTGTCTGTCGCAG